TTCTTCTTCTTCTTCTTCTTCTTCTTCTTCTTCTTCTTCTTCTTCTTCTTCTTCTTCTTCTTCTTCTTCTTCTTCTTCTTCTTCTTCTTCTGGAAGAATAATGATGATGATGATGCAAAAAGAAACATACAAACCAACCAACCACAAGACTGTAAGGTATACCAGTATAGGCCCTTTGGCTTTCAAGAACTGCACAGATTTATATTCCAAATACTGTACTAAGAAATATCCAACAAGAAAGTTAATTTATTTGTCTTAGAAGATAAACAGTCAACCCGATTCTTTACCAACCCTTGACTGAAGGATCCTTGATTTAAGTCCCCAAGAGAGGAATTTGTATATGGGTCAATTAAACACAGATGCCATTCATATGAACAGCTCTTTCAAACTACAACGTATTTAGTCTAACTTAATAAAGCAATGATTGCATTTTATAAGCCTGTCAGCCTAATTTCAGATTTTATTTGCAAGCATTCACTTTAGTCTTTGGTGAACTTGTTTTATCCCTTCCCAGCAGTGTGGGGAGAAGAAAAGAAATAAAAGATGGCATCAAAGGAAAGGGAGGAGGGAAGGAAGAATTATGGACATCAGTGTGAGATTTCTCTGTTTATAGTCCGTTTTTGGAAGCCAGAATTGTGAATATGTTTCCAGTCCACGTTTCATTACAAATATGTGTAAATTCACCAGATTAGACCTAGATGCAGCAGGAGATAAGAGTTATGTTTAAAACAGCATAAGGTGAATGAGTGGTGGTGGATTTATTTTTTTTTTAATGTGCATGAACCGTGGTGCATTTATAGTACATTGCACTGACCAGTGTTTCTCAGCCTTAACAACTTTAAGATGTCTGGACTTCCACTACCAGCATGCTGGCTGGAGAATTCTGGGAGTTGAGGTCCAGGCATCCTAAAGTTGCCAAGGTTGAGAAACACTGGCATAGACACATAACCATTCCAGGAAGTGCAATAATAGAAGCCTACGCGATTCTAAGTTTATTCTAGCATTTTGATTTATTTACAGTAGAACTATCACTTATTTCATTAATGTAATTCTGGTTCCTCTCTTCATGGATTCTTTTTCTGGGGAAGGTCAAAAAATATTCTGCCTGGCAGCTTCTCTTCAGAATCCACTGGATGCAAAATGCTCAAATTTGCTCCCAATTTTGCTGCCACAATTCGATAGGAAACTGTGTGTGAATACCACATGTATGTATTACATAATTGGAGAAGATGTGGACTGTGGACAGAAAGAAATAGCACATTAACCCTGACTTCCTCTAGTGGTTTCCAGATGTATTGGATTTTTAGCAGCACAGCTAAGGCTTATCAGAATTAAAGCCCAACATATCAGGAGGGCATGGGGTTGGAGAAAGCTGCATGACTTCCTAATTTTGCAAAGGAAAAGAACCAAACGAAGAATGTTTGATCTTGTAAAGGAACACTTGGAGGTAACATATGTTAATTTTTTATTTTTCAAAAGAAGGGAAAAACAGCTGAGGAATCTTTGATCACAACGACTGTTGATTGTACAGCAGCTTTCCTGTCTTCATTTTCAGATTTGTTTCTCACACATGGAAACACATAGATCTAGGGCAGGTGATTTTTCAACACAATCTGAGACATATTTGGGCAGGAGAGAAAAATCAGTGCACAGATAGTCTCATGAGTTTTTCTCATCCCCCCATCCCCCAACCCAATGATATCAAGCCCATTTGGGTTGAGAAATAAAAACAACATATTTATAGCATTTTAAATTTACTTTACTTTGAGAAACAATCCCATTTGTGAAACACAGATAGGATAAAACAAGTGAAACTTAATGTTCTGGGCCTGAGGTCTAACAAAAACATAGACAACAGCAGTACAGTCTAGTTTTTTTTTTTTTTAAAGAAGGAATCTCCTGACAGCAAGAGAATTGAGCTAGTCAGAAAAATGGTCTAAAAGTCAAACAAGAGAGAAGAGTAGTTATAGTTCCAAAAGGTAAAGCAAGTGAGGAAGAATCGAACACCAGGTAACACGTGGTTAGTCAAGCATTCCAGTTTCAGAGAACAAGAATTTTTGGATACACTGTCTGAAGACCTATAAATGTGCTTCCAGCATTGATTTGTTTTCAACCACGGAAGTTTATACACAAGGCTTTGAACAGGAGATATTAAAAAAAGTTGAGGATTCACTGATCCATATGATATAGTCATGCGAACATTTGATATCTTTTTGAGATAGTGTATTAAGAGAAAATCCTTAAGTGTTAAAGATGTTAATATGATGTTGAACGATGTGCCTAAGCTTTGGAATCTGACTGTTTATCAGGAATTATGATTGCATTGAACATGGAGGATGGCTAAAAGAATCATATTGAGATATTGGAAATGCGATATTGTTCCCGATATTAGGGAATGGTTGTCAGAAATGTGTGATCTATCTGTTTTGGAAAAGGCAATATTTTCTACTAACCAAAAGATGCAGCCATGTGTGTTACTATGGCAGAGATATTGTAGCATTTTACAATAGTATTTTGTATTGATTAGGTTATAGTAGAGTATTGATTAGTAAACCAGTGATTATTGATAAGTATAGAATATAAGATATTTTTCCTTTCTTTTTCTTTTTCTTTCTTAGTTTGGGGTTGTCTCTTTTTTAATTTGTTGTTGACTTGGTTTCTATTAATTTGGGGGAGGGGGTCTGTAAGAGCCGTTTCCTCCCCTCTTCTGAGGAATTGTTCTGGGAAGATGTCATGACACAGTCGCCAAATTAGGGGGAATGGATCTAAACACCTTCTTCTACCTGATGCCTTCCAAATGGGTAGCCTGTTAGTCCTAGAAATCCCTGAAGGGATAGCTGGGAGTTATGGTACAGAACATCTGGAGAATACTAGGATGGGGGAGGCTGATTTCAGACAAACAGTATTCTCTAGGAAATAAACATATTCAAAAGGCAGCTGATTCTCACAATTCAATGAAGTTGTTTATCACTTTCTCAAAATATCTCTATCAGAAGTAGACAAGCTATAGCATTGCAGATGTTTCTGAACTACCATTCCTGGTATCCCTCACCATAGGCTCTGCTTCTTTGGCAGGCTAGGAGTTATAGTTCAGAAACATCTGGAATACTATCAATTTTCTACCACTGCTTTAGAGCCCCAGTAGCTTCTTCCATTCACCTAAAAGTTTTTAATTGCTCTCATGTTTGCTTTCAGGTATATCATTATAGTTATAAAATCTTCTTGGGAACACAAATGGGGTACAACAGCATGAAGTATTTGAGTGCCGCCGTAGGCATTATTATCTGCTTGTCATCTTTGTTAGGGGTAAGTTTTTGTCTCCTCCATTCCTCTTAACTTCTAACTCAAGTGTGGATAGTCCGTAGCCCCTGGGTTGCATATGGACCCCAAACAATATTGTCCCACCTTCTGAGGTTGTTCTGCTGGCATTCAGTGGCAGGCTATCAAAATGTCCTGCTTCCTCTCTGCATAATAGGAGTGTTCCACCCACCCAAGTAATATTTTTAAAAATTCTCCAAAAATGTTGATGCCAACATATTCTACACTTTAATTTTTAATTTTTAATATGTAAGAAAGGAAAATGATGGAATACAAGGACAGCAATCAAGCTGATTCCATGTAAGTTAATTTATATTAACATTTTGATTTGGAATACAGTCCATGACGAATTATTCAAAAACCACGAGTAGCCCTCAACTAAAAAAAGAAAGAGCATTCTTGATATTTAAGGTCTGTTTCAAGACTGTCAAGTGCAAATTTTAACTAGCTCTACAGAAAGCCCTTGCCTTCAAGCCAATACTGCAGAAAATAATAATTCCCGATGTTTATTTATCCAAAGCATTCATAAGAATTACTTTTTGTAATTTAATGTAGCCTTGTGGCCATTTGATGTCCACCCAAATCCCAGCATGCACGTGACACTTCAGTAGATACGTTATCTGCAGGAAGATTTTTCCTACATGAAAGAGATTTATATTGATCTCTTATTTTACATCCCCCTTAAGTTCTGCTATGCTGCCTCATTGTGGTGGTGGTGGTGGTGGTGGGTATTCCTGGGAGATGTGAGTGAAGAACATGAAGATTTATTTACTCCAACAGTAAATACTCCCAGAAGAGTAATCCAAGGCTATCCAAGCCTATCTGTCTAGCAAAAGCAAGTAGGCAGTATATCAGGCAGCAGTGATATAGCATGAAGCTGTAGGTAGATGATTATTTTAGTCACAATTCCAAAGCATCATATCATACTACATGGGAGAAGACAGTTGCAACACACACACACACAGACACACACACACCAAGAAAACCATATTGATAGACAAAATAAGCGTTTGACGATATGGTGCCAGAGGATTGACTCCTCAGATAGGATGGCATCAACACATTTCTGAGGAATAAATGAGGTGTTTATGATGTGGCTAGATGAAAGCTCTTGGGACATCTAGTTCCTAAATGATGTTGAAATTTAGGAAAAAAAGATCCCAAACAACAAAGACCGAATTATGGTGGAAACGTGGAATGTAAGAAGCATGAACATAGTGGAAGATGAAAGAATCAACTGTATATTGACATTGTAGGCATCAGCAGATTGAGATTGACTGGAATCAGATCATTTCAGTCAGAAGATCATACCATTTACTAATCAGGACATGAAAAACAAAGAAGGAACAGTGTTGTTTTCATAGTCAGGAAGGACATAGCAAGAACAGTACTTGGCTCCAGTGCAATCAATCTCTGAATAATATTAATTAGAATTTGCAGACAGCCTTTTAATATGACAGTTATATAAATTTATGCTCTAACCATTCATACAGAAGAAGAGGTGGGTGATGAGTTTTATGGTCAGGTTCAATTTGAAATTGACTGAACATGCAAGCAAAGTGTGCTGCTTCTAGTTGGAGTGTGGAATACTGAAGTCAGAAATAGTAAGGAGGAAAACATAGGTGGATTGTATGGCTTAGGAAATAGAAATGAAGTGGGAGAATGACTGATTGGTTTCTGCCAATCCATTGATTTCTTTATTGCCAACACTCAAACAACTAAAATGATGCCTATATATATATGGACCAGATGCAGTACACAGAAATCAAATTGATGACATTATTTGCAAAAGGATGTCGAAGAGCTCCATTATAACAGCAAAGATGTGCCCAGAGGTTGATTCTGGAACAGATTACAAACTGCTCAGTGTACAATTTCCAAGAAAAATTAAAGCAGAAAAACAAAGCCAACCACTTTGCGCAATATGATCTTGAATATATACCCACCATTTTCAAGGCGAAATACAGAATCACCTTGAAGTCATTAATGTCACTGATAGAGAACCAGAGGAATCGTGGAATGAAATTAAGGAAGTTGTTAAAGACGAAAGTGAAAAGAGATTGCCAAAGACCAAAAAAGAGAAGAAAACAAACTGGATGTCAGAAGAGACAGTACAAAACCACCAAGAAGAAAAGAGAAGCCAAAACCAAGAAAGAATAAGTTCCCAGAAAGGAACTTAACAAAGAATTCCAGAGATGTGTTAGAAGAGACAGGAAGCAGCATTACAACGACATCTGAAAAGATATTGAAGATGGAGACACACATCTTCCAAGTGACTCAGAAGGAGGCATGAAGTGGCATGCTAAAAGGACATCAGTCAACAAATAGCAACTGACTCAAAGAAGATCAAGCAAGGATGGAAGGAATATACTGACATTTCATACAGTAAGTTACTAACATCCAAGATAGCTTTGAAGATCTTTCCTTCTGAGAGTGTACAAGAACCTCTAGTACCAGAAGATGCAGTTAGATCAACAATCCAGTTGTTACTAAGTTGGAAGGCTACAGGAATTGATGTCATATTTATAGAAATAAGGCAAATGGAGCAGAAGAATCAGTAATGGTTCTAACCAAAGTATGCCAGCAAATCTGGAGAACAACACAGTGGTCAACAGACTGGAAAAAGTCAGTATACATAACAAGACCAAAAAAAGGAGACTTAACTTAAAGTGTGCAAACTTTCATACAATACCCTTAATTTCAGTTGGTAGCAAAATAATGCTTAGGATCATCCAATGCAGATTAAAGCCTATATGGAAAGGGAGATGCCAGTAGTTCAAGCTGGTTTTTGAAAAGAGACATTTTTACTGATGCACATGGGATAATTGAGAAAGCCAAAGATTACCAAAAAGAAGTCAACATGTGTTTCATTGTTTAAAGAAAGGCATTTGATTGTACCAATAGAAGCGAATATGCGTAGCTCAGGATTGAACTGTGGAGTCCTTGGGGTTCTCTGAGCTTGGTCGTTTTCTTGCAAACATTTCATTACCCAGCTAGGTAACATCTTCAGTGTTAGAAGGACTCTGGATTTGATTGTGTCTGCCATGCCAATCTGTGGAATGTCCTTAGGAAAATGGGAATCCCAGAACATCTCACTGTCCTCATGAGAAACTTATATACAGGACAGGAAGCCACAGTCTGGACAGAATACAGTGAAACACACTGGCTCCAGGTTGGCAAAAGAGTGTGACAAGGCTGCATCCTCTTCCCTTATTTATTCAACCTATATGTGGAATATATACAGTATTAAGGAAAGCTGGATTGGGAGAAGATGAGCATGGTTTTAAAAACTGGAAGGAGAAATATCAATAAACTGGACTATACTGACGATGCTAGTCTGATAGCTGAAAATGCAAATGATCTGCAAGGTCTAGTTATGAAAGTAAAGGGGCACAGTGGAAAATAGGACTAAGGTTAAATATAAGGAAGAAAAAAACTAATGACAACTGGTAAAGCAACCAGCCTTAGAATTGACAATGAAGATATTGAAGTGAAGATCAGAATCATGCAAACCATGGTGTGACTCTCTATGGAACTGAAAGTTAGACTTTGAGGAACAGGATAGAAAGACTATTGATGCTTTTGAACTTTGATGTTGGAGAAGACTCCTAAGAATGCTACGGATGCCAAGAAAGCAAATAAATGGATCATTGAACTAATCAATTCCTTTTTGCAAATAACCAGACAAATGCATATTCTTCTCATCTTCTGGGGTCTTCTTAAAATCATCTGGCTACGATGACCTAAAGCCCTGAGCCCCACAGCCTTCTCTAACCTTGTGACCACCATTTTGAAATGCTCTTCTAACAGAGATTTGCACTGTTTTAAGGTGTATTTATTTATTTAATTTATCTGGGTGACCAACTCATGGTGTGACTATGGAGAGCTAACATGCAGTTAAAAACTACAGCAAACACCAGGATGAAAACTAAAAATGCTTCATGCCCAAGGTCACTTGTAATATCTGGCCCACCTAACATCTGGGCCTAATGCTTGAGGGAGAGCCAGGTCTTCAGTTATCATGAAAGGCTGGCAGGATCAGGACCACCTAGATCTTGGGGTATAAACTGCTCCACAGGATAAGCAACAGAGAAGCCACACTTTCTGAGTCTCATCAGATGATGTAAGGGATTCAGAGCATGCCCATCATGGCAGATCTTGTAGGACAGGCAGAAATAATTGGAGACAGTTCACAAATAACCCCAATCTGTGCCATAAAGAGCTCTGTAGATGAGAATCAGCACCGTGAATTGCATCCAGAAGCAATGGGAGTCAGAGGGAGCAAGTGTAGTTCGCAAAGTAATGATGTTACATGGGCATACTCAGGTGTGCCCATAATTACTGTGCTGCTGTATTCTGGAAAACTGCAACTTCAGAGTGGTCTTCAAGGGCAATCCCATGTAGAGCTTATTGAGATATTCCAAGCAGGAAATGACCAAGTTTAACTGACCATGAGCAGGGCCTTCCAATCCAGGAGTAGGTGCAATTGGTGTACAAGGTAGACTTACATAAGCATCCTCCTGATCACAGCTGCTACTTGCTCTTTGGAACCCTATCCTATAATGTGCTGTTGTGTCAACCTATTTCTCTTTCACACTTCCTGACCTTTAATATTTTCCAGATATATCTTGTTGACCATGTGGGCCGAAAGATTCTTCTTCTAATTGGTCTTGCAATTTGTACTGCAAGCAGCATTTTGATGGTCATAATGCTTGAAATATTGGAATATAAGGTAAAGCATCAAAGATGGACAAAAGAGCTAAGAATTATTCAAACTGACTCAAACTCCAGAGTCACACTTGGCTGTAAAAAATTCAGGACAGAGATTTCTGAAAATGTCTGAACTTTTGACTAATGGATTTTGGAGAAAGATGTTAGAGAGAAAGCTGCTTTAGAATCCAAAATTGCTATGGAGGCTTCATTTTCAAGGCCCTTTAAAATTCTCAATTTATGTTATGACTTTATCAACCTGCAGCCTCTTCACTACTCAAGTTTTTTTTTTTTTAAAGTCTCATATGTATTGTAGGTCTCTCATGAGGTCTTCCTATGGGTTTAATGGAAATCTGATAAGGCAGGAAAGAAACAGACTCCTGGAGAGTGTCCAGCTAAGGACTGTGCTGACACACTTTCTTGGCCATCTTGTAAATGAATATGTGCAAAGCCACCCTCTTCCACCCCTGAGAATTTCATAGATTTTCTTTTTTTTTTTCCCCTGTGAAACACTTTTGAAGGAATTTATTGTATAGTCAATTAAATTTTAAAAGTGTCTTTTTTAAAAAGGCAGCAGTACATAATTTAATGTTCTGGATTTTGAATAATGACATCTAGGGCATGGGGAAGCAGGAACGTAAGCTTTTCCCCAAGAAATGTGCTTGGTTGCATCATACAGATCTTGGAGATGATTTCACATTCAGATTTTTTTCAGTCAAAAAAACAAAAGATCCTTTCCAATAAACTCTATAACTTCATAGACACTGAGCTCAAATTTGACTAATATTTTTTTCCCACAGATTGCCACTCTGGTGCTGTCTTATTTAAATTTCATTTTATACATCGTATTCCTATCTGGACACACCATAGGCCCAAGTAAGTGAATGAAATGAAAGTCATGAAAGGAGGTGGGGGGGGAGGACCCTGGTCAATGGAAAATTCCATTCAGTGACTTGCATCCTTTGTCTCTACCAAGATATAATTCCAAAAATAATTTCACTGGAGTTGTTCCTTCAGTCAACACGAGCATCAGCTTTTGCAATTTCAGGATTCGTGCACTGGTTCATGAATTTTGTCGTATTAATGTTATATGATAAAATGCAGGTGAGTGAGTCTGAAGATAGGCTTGGTGGAAATGGCATAGTTTATTAAGCAGGGAAAGAGCAGCCGTCCCCCCACCCCAATTATCTTCCTGACCTCCAAGTCATACAGTATGTACAGAACTGTATCGTTAGAATCCATGTGTTCGAAATGCGGTTGGTGTGCCCCCTTTTGAACAGCATCACAAGTTTACTTTTTTTGAAAATCTGTCATTTTCTATTGGGAAACTTTGCAATTCATATGTACCAAGCCTTCAGATAAGTTGGTGCATCTAAAATGGGAAAAACAAAGGAAGGGCCTTAAAAAAAACCCTAAAATCTTTTTAAAAAAACAACATAATCCCATATACTGTCATGAACAGGGAGCCATTAAAAAAAAAAAATCTTGTTTTGCAGAAAGATTATCTGTCTAGAGCTAGAGGTATTCACAGGGAGGTCATACAATTTTGCAAGATGACAGACGAAGCATAGCAATCCAAGTCCTACTCCCCCTTTTATGTGCATTGACTTTGCACACGTGTACAAGTGGGGTGGGCTTGGATTGCAATGCAGAACTCACCAACATGCCCCCAAAAAAAAAAAAAAGTCAAGATGGAATCCATGATGTGTGATTGAAGTTCAACATCTTCTGTATAGGTGTCAACTTTATGCACATGTAGAAAGTGGAGGGCTTTGATCATGCACTCGTGGCTGCTATCTTGACTATACATAGGGTGTTAATACACCCTCTGGCTTCTCCTCCCAGAACAACTGTAGTTACTGTTTCAGTTTTTCTTGATAAATCAGCTTATGTTATGAATGGGGACTAGGGGGCTAGAGAAGGAACTGCGTTTATTTAAAAAGCAGTCGGTGGTAGACTGGGTGAAAACAGTTTAATTACTTTAATGATGAAAAATGCAGAGAGAGTAATCATACTGACAGTTTTGATTTAATGTAGCTCTTGCTTTGGCCCCAACACACTTTCCACTCTGCTCAGTCCTCTGGTTACAGTTCAGCCTTCAGCCTTCCACCCAAAGGCCGATGTGGCCCTTGGTTCAAAAAAGAAAGATTGTGCCACTGTCTCAAAGCAAGTGATATTATATCAGCTTCTAAAATACTATTAAGGTTTTGCATTGGTGAAACCTAGTATAAATGGAAACAGCCTCCATGTAGCTTTTTGGAGGAGCAGAGGGTGGGGATGTGACCCAAAAGGGTATATGTGTGATAAAAAAATAGACTTCTATATGGACACTGTTTCTCTCCTTCCTTCCCCACAAACAATTCCTTTTACATCTTCAGAGGGAACTTGGATCATACTCCTTACTCCTCTCCTGTCCATTCTGTGTAGCCACCTTTGTTTACGTCTACAAAGTTATCCCAGAGACCAAAAACCAGTCTTTTAAAGATATCAAAAACTTCATGGCGATGCAGACAAACAGGAGGATCCATGCCAAGATGGATGAGGCAAATGAAAGCTCAGGAGATACCCTCTGAACTCATTCTGTACTCTTGTATTTATTTATGTATTCACTTTGAAATTAGAATTAAAAACAGTCTGTGTTTTTCCTCAACTGTCTAGTTTGATTGACCTAAGGAGTATTTCTGCTAATTCAGAATCAACAACATAGCTGACATTCAGACCAATATTTTACCAAAGTACGTCCTCCAATTCCCCCAGAATTGGCTTCCCTTGCAAAGGCGGCTTTAGTTTTTCTCTCTCATTCTCAGGGAACTGTTAGGTTTTCAGATTTTAGAGGGAGGGTTTTTGAGCTGTCTTAATTGTTCTGAAATGGCTGGGCGGGGGTGGGGGGAGTGGGGGCAGTATTGTTATTTCTTCCCTCAGCCTACAGCCTCCCTGACTACTCATACTTCCAATGTCAGAAAAGCTTCAACAGAGACATGTTCTCCACAGGTCTTCTGTTGGGATTTAACTGAAGCTCAGGACATTAGGGAAACTGCAGATTGTTAGCAAAATAAACAGTGAAAGACAGGACATTCACTTAACCCCCTTCAGCCACCTTATAAGCAAAATAATTTTAAGAATTCCACTCCCACTAGAATCATTTCACATTTTTCTCCTTTTTTGGGGGGGGGGGGGGGCTGAGCAATTTTCCTTCCCCCTCTCCCTCAACCTCAACTTCTGAAAACCCTTTCAGG